GGGGGGGGGAGGTGCGCGCGTGATCGCATGCCGAATGTCGCTACAGTTGGGGACCCGGTGTAGCGACACCTCGTGTCACGAAAAAATGTGGCCGCCATTCAGGGCAGGTTGCTAAACCGAACTACCATTTGTATAGCAATTATACTGCCAGGGTGCGGCGGTGATCCGCGGTTTTGTGGTCGTTGAACAGGGCATGCCACTGAAACAGGGGGTCGCTAAACCGGCGCCCCTACCGTATGTAGATAATTGACCTCGCATGCCAGGAAGTAGCGATATGCCGACTGTTCGCCGGACCAGGCTACCTTTCCCAAGGAACAACCCGAAGCTGGTCATCAGGGGAGGGGGAGTACCCTGTCATGCATGCCTTAGGCTGTTACACCATTGACCACGCGTCAACTAGAGAGGACGGGGCATTGTTCCCACAGGACCGATACCCGATGGTTAACCGTTCTTTCCTACTTTGCCAAAGGTGGCGGTGGGCCAAATTGGTGCTTCGTAGTTGATAAACGCCACGTTATCACCGTGTGCATACTATTCCCCCGTCAAAAAAGGTCAAGCGACACGGATGGGAACTCTGGTAGGGGGGCAACTATCCCGGGGAGGCTCGTTCCCACCTGGTGCACTAAAAACTACAGAGTTGAGACGGTAACAAACATCAAAGCGAGACGGGAACAGAGGCGGCTTTTGACACCTCCTATAACTCACCGTGGAGTTGGCAACCATGCACAGGTCCCAGGGTTGGGGCAGGGGAGAGAGCGGGAGAGGATTTGTATGCCACACAACACAAAAAAAAAAACGACAGGAAAACCCGCGGCTGCCTCGCACGCACTCTGCGCTGCAAAAAAAAACTGTTCCGCCAGTCTCGGTTGACAAGTCAACCAACACCAAACCGCGGCGTCACACTGCAATACGACGAAGAAAATAACACTCTCTTCCGGTGGGACAAATTATCCGACAAAGTCGAAAGTCCGGCTTGCACGCACCTGTTGCTGTCGCGGCCGCGGAACCGACGCCCCCCACCCCCCAGCAGCGGTCGACGGCGCCCCCGCCACCGAGAGCATGAGCAACTCGCCCCTCCGCGTGAGGCAAAGCACGCCTTCCCGCCCCCCGCCGCTGCCAAGCAGCAGCCGCATGCTCGTCGGCGTGTCGCCCGGCAGCCTCCAGGTGTGGAGCGGGGTTGGGTCGCCGGAGTTGAGTAGAAGCACTACCGAACCGCGCTTGGGCCTGGACGGGGTGGGGGGGGGNCCTACCGATATCCCTTCCCGCCTTTTCAAACCGCTTCCTGCTCCCCAGTTCAGCTACCGTCTTTTCCTCTCTATTCCATGCCTCAAACATCTCCCTGTATGTCCCATCTATTTTTCCCAGCTCAGTCACGTACACTTCCCTCTCCTCCTTGTACCACGGACATTCCGCGACTACATGAACACGATCTTCGCATTCGAAGCCACAATCACATTTGAACTCGTCGTTTTCTTCTTCTACCGTCCCATGTCTTCGCCGACGTTCTCCAAGGCCTATGTCCCCGGTCCTGAATTTGACCTTGAGCTTTGTTCCTGCATCCGTTGGTCCATGTAAGTAATCCTGGAACCCTATTCCTTCTTTCATCATTCCGTACACTTCTAGACCCTCCTTATCCTCGGTTTCTTTCCTTAGATTCTGTTCTCTCTCGGCACAAGCAACTTGGGCCTGGACGGGGGTGCTGATTGAGGATGGATGGGTACGGCGAGGGACTTTATTCCCTGCAGTCGGTGGCAGGTGACTACAAAAAAAAAAAAAAACGCGCACAGTCCTCGTTTTTTGCCCCGCTACAAGACTGACAATTTTCATTGGCCAGCCGGTTAGCGAGGTCAGTGCTACCCAGCAAAACGAACCACACACACATACATAGGGGGGGGGTGGGGGGGGGGCGGTGCAACGGCGGCAGCAGCCTACCGTAGCCTTGAAGCGCACTGAGGCGGCTGGACGCGTCCCCTTCACAACAGCACACACCCTGCTCGTTCCTCATGATTGTGATGATTGTGCTTCAAAGAGGCATCCGGCTAGCCACGCTCACTGATGCCATCTCGACTACAATACACAGCACAGTGGTACGGCCACGGTCACGGCCACGACAAGCAGCATCCCCCTGAAGACGACGCCCGTTTCGACGACGCCAAAACTAACTCACCCGTCCCCTTCCCCTCGAAGGCTAGCGGCGTCGACACACAACGCCACGTCTCCCACGCCTCCCCCCTCCACGGAAACGCCGGCCTTCCCGCAGCCGACGACCGAGCGAGGGTCGGCTGTAGCGGCCGCGCGGACGTGCGCCCGGTACTCCCAAAGAGGTGTCGGCTGGGGCATGAGGGGCGGGGTGGGGTACACACGAGCTTGCTTGGCGTAGTACTGACCATTGGCCAGCGTTCCTTGTGGGTGAGAGTTTCTGCTCCAAGTCGGAACACCGCCAACATTCGGAGGCTCTTTGAAAGGGGGGAGATTTCAGCATTGATTTCTGCGTTTGTGCAAAGCGGTTCTCCTGCAGAAAACGTCCTCGTGCAAGTTTTTCTCAAAAACGAAGGAAGAATCGTGACTACGGCAGACGGATTCAACAACTGGCGGTCGAACAAACAAATAAACACCAACGAAGGGCGACGGCACCCACGCCGGTTGGTCCGATGGAGGGAAGGGCGACAGAACAAGACGGGGCAAGGCAGCGCGGATGAATCTAGCCGGTAGTTGGAATGACCTGGAGACTTCGTCGACCTTGTCCCTCCCTCCCTCCTTGTGAATAATCTCTGTTTCTCTTTCTGCCCCCCCCCTCTCTCTCGCTCTTTCTCTCCCTCTCTCTTTCTCGCTCTCTCCCCCTATTTCCCCCCCCCCCCCTTGGCTCTCTCTCCTCCTTCTCTTACCTCCGGAGAGACCATGTCCCACACGGCCGCGTACCCGCTCCCCGCCGCCATAATCCTCCCGCTCGCCGCTATGAATCCCAGACACTTGAGCGGGCCAGTTTTGGGCGAAGCAAAACGAACGTGTCGCGTTCTAGGGGGCAGCAGCGTCGACAGCAGAGTCGCCGTCTCTAGCGACCACAGCGTGATAACGCCTGGCGCGGATACAAGGGAGGGAAGGTAGGAGTTTGATGAGCGAGGAAACATGCCTCCAATGGGAGGGAAACTAGACAGCGTAGGGTTAACACCGGAGGGGTCAACCGCGAGGAGTGTGCGTCAACTGTTGAATGAATTATCTGCACGGACAAGCACAGCCGGACTTCACACGACAGCAGCCTAAACCCTACTTTCAACGTTCACCATCTCGGATCTCTTTTGCTCTTTTGCACCAAGGAGGGTTGCGCATGGTACCAGGGTGACGGGCGAGGCATAGCACATGTAGACCAGACCAAAAATGCCTCGGAGACAAACGGCTTCAACCCAAACAGCATGTGCGTATGTTCCGCAGACAGCACCGGGGAGAGAGGTAGTCATGTGTAACAGCATGCCGTAGTCGTTAGACCATTGATCTCGCATCAGGGACGGAACAATATGCCGGATTTCCGTCGGCCCAGGCTACCTTTAACCAGAAGCGATAGCACCNCATTCGCACACCTTGGCCGGTGCTGTGCTGCCCCCGCCGCTGCCCCTTGCGTATGCCGTTGCTTCCGTCCCAGTTGACCTCCTCGTTGGGAGAGTAGGCGACGGCAAGGACAGAGCCGTCGGAGCAGAAGGACGCTCCGGTTGCCGCCAAGCCCTCCTTGTACCGCACCTGCACGAGATCATGGAGCGGGGAAGGGTTGTTCCAGGCCGTGTGTGTGGATTTATTCTCAGACGCGGAGGAGAACAAAACCGTTTCGGTTTGTGTGCGTGCGAAGGTGGAACGCCGGTGTTGGTTGCTTTATCGTGTGTGCATCATTTACCTGTTTGAAAGGCAACACTTGTCCATACAGAACGAAAAAACTGTCTTTTCTTCTTCACGTGGTACTCTTGTTGATACAGAACAAAGAAACACAACAACAACCCCAATAACAACGGCGAACAATCCCAACCCGCGGCTACAAACTCCACCACCCACCGCTACCCAGCAAGTCTAACAGTGGTTCAACATCCATCTCCTGCTCCTGTCCAACCAACCTCCGCTCCTAACCATCAAAGGGGGACGCCACACAAAACCTACCACGTGATTCCACGGAACCCCCACCCACCTCCCTTCGCAAATCTTGAGAAAATATATATATATTATATATATATATATATATCTTTAAATCTCTCACCGAACAACAACATTACCAGTACAACCACAGCGCTACTGCAAACAACCTGAAGCCTCCCATTCATAGTCCGGTACACGCTACAATATCTCGTTCTCACCGACAGCGAGCAAGCCCAGTGCACCGCCTGTTCCCCGTCTCCCTCAGTCCGAACGCCGCCGCTGCCGCCCTTAGCGGCGGCGGCTAGCGATTCCAAGGCATTGTCTGTCCTCCTTAGCCCCCACAAGTTGAAACCGCCGTCCTGCTTGCCGGCTGTCACGACAACGTCCTCTCGGGGGTGATACTCCAGGGCGGCCACCTGACCAAAAAGAAAATGAGGGAGGGGGGAGGGGGGTGTACTCATAGTCGTGCATGCCGTAGTCGTCAGACTATTGACCTCGCATCCCTACAAAGCCGGGACGGAGCACGCCGGGTTCTCACCGGACCAGGCTCTCACATCACCAAGCGCGAAGCGCCGTGAGATATTCGGCGAGTCGCATGAAGGGTGCGCTGCATCCTGCTAAGGGTGTTCGGCATCTTGTGCTTACTTCCTTGCGTACGGATGACAGCTGCGTATGAATTAATTTATTTTCTGGTGCTTTCACTTCCAGAGACAGTTGTAAGCACTGTGTAACTGCCTCGAGGGTGCTTGACCATTTTAACACAACGTGGTGCGATCATCCCCCTTGCGCGGAGTGAGGGTTCTCCACCCCGCACAACATGATCTACTCGACCACCATTATGGTTACCGCCAAAAAAAAAAAACGGAGGTAAAAAAAAAAACGGTAACCTGGTTGCCGAGTTCACGAAGTGAATTGGCTTGTTTTACAACGTCGTTGCCAAGCGACGAAAACCCAATCCCGATGGCAAACACCGGGGGGGGCGGCTTGTTTTACAACGTCGTTGCCAAGCGACGAAAACCCAACCCCGATGGCAAACACCGGGGGGGGCGGGCGGGAGGGGTACTCATAGTCGTGCATCCTGTAGTCGTTAGACCATTGACCTCGCATCCCTTCAAAGCCGGGACGGAGCACGCCGGGTTCTTACCGGACCAGGCTCTCACATCACCAAGCGCGAAGCGCCGTGAGGTATTCGGCGAGTCGCATGAAGGGTGCGCTGCATCCTGCCAAGGGTGTTCGGCATCTTGTGCTTACTTCCTTGCCTACGGATGACAGCTGCGTATGACTTAATTCACTTTCTGGTGCTTTCACTTCCTGAGACACTTGTAAGCACTGAGTAACTGCCTCGAGGGTGCTTGACCATTTTAACACAACGTGGTGCGATCATCCCCCTTGCGCGGAGTGAGGGTTCTCGACCCCGCTCAACATGATCTACTCGACCACCATTTAGGATACCGCCAAAAAAAAAAACGGAGGTAGAAAAAAAAACGGTAACCTGGTTGCCGAGTTCACGAAGTGAATCGGCTTGTTTTACAACGTCGTTGCCAAGCGACGAAAACCCAACCCCGATGGCAAACACCGGGGGGGGGCGGGGAGGGGTTACATGTTTTATAGTCGTTAGACCATAGACCTCGCATCCCTACAATGCCCGGACGGAGCAATATGCCGGGTTTTCGTCGGCCCCGGCAACGGGTCACAACGATGAACTTGGATGGGCGGGGGGGAGGGGGGGGGGCATGCCATGGGTTGACAGGGCATCCCCGCTAAGCAAACGTTACACGTTGGGTGGCCCTCTATGCGTTTCATAGTAGAAAGCGCACGCACGTACGCACAGGATGGTTAGCGCGGACGATGCTGCATAGATAACGAGGGAATCCTGGGCTATATGTAGACGCACCGCGTTGCCCGGCCCGTGAGGGTTCTCGACGCTAGTGTCTGCGGCCCAGTGCCCCGACATCCCCCCTCCCCGCCCGCCGCCTCTGCCGCCGCCGGAGTTGCGCGCTCCCGCGTAGCTGCCCGTGTAGCCGCCGTTGTTGGACCCGAAAGGATCTGACCCCCTGGCGTGCTTCCAGAAGGATAGCGAGGGGGAAGACGCTGGGGCCCGGGAGGCTACCGCCACCATTCTCTGCAAGAGGGGCGGTCGAACAAAGAAGGGAGGGCGGCCAAAAGTTCAAGTTTCGCAAGGGTAGTGGGGGGTCGAAACAACCTGGTACTGTACTTCCTTTCGAAACAGAGAAAGTATAACGTAAACCTTGTGGCGGGGGGGGGCTAGAACGCACTCATTCTTTCAAGACAGAGAAATGAAACAAGACTTAACATCCATTTGTATACGATCATCTCAAGTTCTCGACAAGATTTCCGCTACAAAAAGCACGACGTTCTCAAGCTTCCAAGTAGCCTCCTGTTGCGATGGCCAGATTTGACGTGATTTTGTTCTATTTAGTAGCCCCAACGTGGCAGTGCACGCTGATGTAAACGTAAAAAAAAACATACTTCTTCGGGTCCGGTTTTATTGCCGTCTACCTTTTTCGGGTAAGTTAGCCTGTGACCACGGGAATCGACCCCGACAAGCATTAGACTAGTACGGACAGAGGAAGGTACTGGGCAGAGAGAACGGAACGGTTTTTAATGTGAACACAACAATAACAACAACGACGACAACAACGACAACAACAAATAGTCACCTTGCCGTCGGAAGAGAAGGCCACGTGCTCCACCACAGGCCCAACAGAACCGGCACCACCGGGACCACCATCACTCTTGCCGCGTTGCATCTTGGACAGGTGGTCCGATTGCCAGCTCTTGGCCGAGGTGTCCCTGTTGACCCTTACAACCTCCGCGCTGGCCTCGAGGCAGTTGGTGCCCACATTGTAAAACTAGACAACAGCAGCAGCAGGGGAACGATAGACCAGAGGGAGGTGGGTAGTGAGTGAAAAGGCGCTATTGGCCTCCAGGCAATCGGTGCCCGCGTCGTAGAACTAGACACCAACAGCAGTGGAGACCAACAGTAGACGACGTTGAGGCAGCGGGACATGAGTGAGAAGGCGCTGCTGGCCCCCGCCAATTGGTGCCCACGTTTAGAAGTACATCACTGTAGCCGCAGCAGCGGCAGAGATTGCCATAAGACCAAGAGGTAGTCAAGAGGTAGTCGGATCCCACGAGAGTACAAAGGCGCTGCTCCCGCATGGGCAAGTCGGTGACAACGACATAGAATGAACTCGTGTTTACAGCAGAGAGAGCCAGAGGGTACAGATGCGGTGGTGAACTATCGGGAAAACGAAAACTTGTATGTACAGGCCATCATGATGCCCACCATGCCCACACAACAAAAAACACACACAGGTGTGCATAGCGACAACGACGCCAGGCAAGACAAGACGAGCCCCACCTGGACGTGCCCCGCCCGCCCATTACACACCACGATCCCGCGCTTGGGCCCCATGGTGAGCTTGAGGGCTTGTCTATCCCTCTCAGCCCTCTCTGCCGGGGAGCTTAGCCGTATTGCTGGTGGGCGGGAGAGAGCCAGCCCCCGCATTTGCCACAGGACATCCCACCCTGCGCGGCGACGGCATTGGTTACAAGACCAGTAGACAAAACGGTCAGGCGTCGAGGCCTTCAGGGACGAGTTATTACGTTGTTCGAAAAGGCCGTAAAACACACGCATACGGCGTGGATTAATACACGCACACGGCGTGGGTTGACACACGCACGGGTGTGCGTTGGGTTGTACGTGCATTCTTCGCTTCTTGGGGGAAGTATAACTGTTAAACAATACTGATACGAACTGCCAAACTCTCCCTCCAGCGACTTATAAGAGACAAGTGAAAACGCACAGCGGGAAACAAGCCAATAGTGCGAGAGACGTGTGCCCACAAGGTCGCAAAATTGATTAAATATAAAAGTTGCCATTCGAAAGGCACCTCACCTGCCAATCCCACGAGGGTCACCGCATTGTCCATTGTAGTCGCCGCGGCGTACTCCTGCCCGGGCGAGACAGCCAGCCCCTGTCAAAAAATAAAAAACGCCCAAGAGATTACACCAAAGCCCTCGAGCAATCGGAGTATCCACAAGTTTCGATCAAGTCATGCACATTCACGAGACGTTGACAGCCTCCTGTTGCGCAGAGGGCAAAACGATTTTCGACAAGACACAAGGCTGTTGTCTTTCCAGCAGATTATTCACAAGTTACTTCCGCCACAAAGCAACATGATGCCGTGATCGCATCATCTTCATGATCTCAGCATCCAACATCTTCGCGACAATCAGTGTGCAAGACCTTCATGATACCATCAGACCCCCAGCACATGCAAGAGCCACGAGATACCCGACGGCAACAGCATGATCGTTGCGGAACGATAGCACGGGAACGGGTTTTCACTGACCTGGAGAGGGGCGCCAAGACGGGGGAGGAAGGCCTTCGTCCCCTTGCTGAGGTTCCACTGTACCAGCACCGCTTCCTCTCCTCCAGAGAACAGCTGGACCCTGCGAGAGGGGCATGGGTTTCCAAAGCGGTGGAGGGGGTGCCGTGTCAGGAGAGGGGGAGCGGGCATTCTTACATAGAAATAAGTCCAATACCCGGCCGGTTTTTCTCCACTCACTGAAAAGACTCCACCACATCCCGTTCGACTGTGGGTATATCTCGAACGGGTAGTCTTTCTGTGTGTGTATTTATTGTTCCTAATAGAAACATGTACGTAACATAGTTGAAGTTTCGTCTGGGTGCGCCGAAGTTTGTCCTTCTAGGCTCGCTCAAGTTTCTTGCTTCTTGGTTCGCTGAGATTCGCCGGGCTTTGTGAGTAAAAAAACACGTCAGTGGTGTGAGCTTGGGAAACGTCACACCACACAAGGCTGGGCTGGTTCTGCGACTGCTTACGCTTCATCTTGTATCATCCCCTTGATGCCACTGTAACGTTCTCATGAGCCCACTCAAGAGGCATCCCTTGCAATACATGTACCAAATAAATCACCGTCGCCAGAAACTAAATTTTACCTTGCAGGGACGACGGCCGCAACCAACGACGACTTACCCGTCCGGGGCGACGGCCATGCACCGCACGGGGTGCGCGTGCCAGTGCATGTCGGTCGACGGAGGCCCCGCCTCCGATAACACCTCCCGTGAGCCCAAAACCTTGAAGGCGGCCCGAAGCCTGTCTGTCAGCTCGTGCCACTGGCTCATGCTCCCGTCCAGGTGTGCCGTGATCAGCTGGAAAGACAGTCCGCAGCAAGACACACAACAAGAACACAGTAGCGTCGTCGTTAGAAGGGCAGCAATATCGATAAGCAACAACAGCATCAACAGCACAACAACAACAACAACAACAACAACAACAACAACAACAAAGCGCGACAAACAACGCATCACATGGACGGTAGCCGCCGTGCAGCACAAACCTCAAGCAAGGTTCATGAAAAAGCCGCGGCCAAGGTAGACAAGAGGGGACCAACAACCCACGCTCGAAAACAAGCCATGCGCTCAGCCCGACGAAACGGCCTCATCCTTACCTTGGCCACTACCACCTACCCCCCCCTCTCACCGATTCCCCGTCGCCCCCCACGACCAAGCTCCGCACCGGGGCCACCGCCGTCACCAACACCGCCTTGTCGCCGGTCCCGACATCGACGGCCATGACATCCCTCCCGTCCTTCCACAACAGCACCGGACAAGTTGTTGTCCCCCACCCTCGCCTCTTTGCGTCGCCCCCCCCCTCGGCGGCGGGGGGAACGGGGGAGCGGGGCGCCGTGGCGCCGATCCAGCGGTACTGCTGCCTGGAGACGAGGATGACGGCTTCGGAGATCCCCTTGGCGAGGCCGTACCGCACCGCCTTCGGAAACAAGACCGCGGTGAGTGAAGGAGAGCGACAACGTGTGTGTGTGTTTATAATTTGCATCGAGCGCGCGAACCGGCTGAGATATGAAAAGACGCCAGTCTCATTGTGGTATAAAACAGCAAATGATTCGTAAAGGCCGTGATCTTGGAGCCCTTGTGTGCGTCTTGCTTGTCAACATCGACCGCGCGAACCGGCTGACCAAAGACCCTTTGTGTATGTGTGCTTTATCCTCATTTGCATCGATCGCGCTAACCGGCTGACCAATGAAAAGACATCAGTTCTCAGGTGTGGCTGGTACTGTGTGTGAGTGTTTTTATATTAGTCCTGAAATCTCTTCTGGCGTGGCGGTCCACACAGTACAAACTTAAATGGACAAAAAGAGAACGCGTGTGCATGTTTGACAGGACAAAAACGCCACATACGACAACCCGACGCGAAGGAAGTACTGTAGCATATCGAACGAGCTTCTTCGTCGGACGTCACATTCGGCCACACTCCCGCCTCTGGAGGTTAAAAATCGTAAACTTTCATGACTGGACCGCCATACTTCAGGTACGAATACTCTCGGCCGAGCCGTGACACTCGGCCAGCAGGCCAACTTCTCTCTCTTGTGCGGGGGGCATGACAGACAGTCACAGGCAGAGGAAGGTCGCCATACGTGACGGTAGGGGTTGCCGCGCACGGTGAGGGGGCGGGGAAACCAGACATGCGGCCTTGCAAGAAACTGTTCTTTAGTAACGAGAAGAGGAGGTTAACAAGGCAGACACCGGGCCACGCGCGGGCCTCCTCAAGCTAGTCACTTGTAACGAGAAAAAGGAAAACAAGGCAAACATCGGGCCACGCGCAAGCCTCATCACGCCTTTCACCTGCCAGTCGAAGAGGCGCTGATCAGCCTTAGCACCGTCGCTCCTCTTCCTGCGGCGACTGAGGGCGCCCTTACTCCCACGTGCATTCCGCATCGCCCCCTTGTTGGGCTCCCCCGACGCACCGCCTGCCTCCTTGACCTGGCCGCCACCACGGCGGCGAGAAGGAGTTGTGCCCCCCCTCCCCTCCTCGATATCAACGTCATCATCATCATCTTCACCGTTGTCGCCGTCATCAGAAGAATCGTCCTCTTCCGAAGTCAAGTCATCGTCATCGCCGTCGTCGTCGTCCATGTCTTGGAGACCGTTCGAGGCAGGGGCGGACGGAGTTCCCCCCCTCTTCGCCTTCTTCCCGTCAGCGTGGCCCCCTTCTTCTCCCCCTTCCTCCCCGTACCCGTGAAGGGAAGCGGTGCCCTCCTTCGTGACTACGATAACGTCCATGGCGCTGCCATTGTTTCCGGTGTTGTCGCGAGGGGGGAAGTTGTTCGCAGGTGAAGGAGACAGGCGGTGCACGCACGAACTTTGGGCGTTCAGAATGTTGCTGATGATTGTCTGAAGCTTAAGTCCGCCGTTCAAACTTGTCGTTTGTGGCAACATCGTCAGCGAGATGGCTTATCTTGGCCGGTATTTGTATCAACTTATACCACCACGTCTACCCCAACACAAACAGAAATCAACTCGAGGAAGGAGATTGTTTGCTCTCATTATGGAGGAATTTTCTATCGCAGATCGTGCTTGCCGGTGAAAGAAACACGCAGCACGAATAGAGAGAGAGAGAGCAAGAGAGGATACAACGCTCGCCTGCCGGGGTAACAACACAGCTATCGCAGAACCGGCAGCAAAAGCAAAGTCAACCATAGAACTAACATCAACAACCGCAGCAACGTCGGCCACACAACCAAGACAGCAGCAACAGCAACAACAAGCACTCACGTCCCGCTGCCGTCTTGTCTGCCCATGAAGAGATGGTACACGGGCATTCCCACGTTGTAAACTCGAAGACACCGCTCAGCCTCTCCCTGGAATCAGAGAGGGAAAAAAACGTCACGATTGTCTGCGTTATGAGGATTTGTGCGGCTAACCCAGGGAAAGGATGCTGGACATGCTCACTACGGCGAGTTAGAACTGGTACGATGCTAGAGCGGAACGGCCCCCGCAACATGCAGGTTCACTCCCGATAAAGACGGTGTAGTGGTGTATTTGGTTATTGTATACTATAGAAGCACAATGAGGGAAAGCCTCCGCGGCGGCTCCAACTACTGGACCAGACCCGGGACACGAGCAGCGTGAATACGCTGCAAAAGCTCCACGAAACGTTAATTCCACCTCCAAAATGTTTCGTGCGAGAAACCATCAGCAACCAGGGAAAGACACCGCAACTACCGTGTAAGACACAAGATAGCACACCCCCTGGACCGATGTTCAAAGCTCGATCTTCTCAACAGCAGAAAGACTCACAGCACCGAAAACGGCGGCGTTGAAGCCGTCTCGTCGAGAGCTTTCCGAAAACGTATCGTTTTGTTTGTGCATCCTCTTTGTCATGGAGAAATCGAGCTTTGAAAATCAGTCCGGGGTGTGTGTTATCTTGTGTCGTATACGGTGAACCAGAAGCACGAAGACCGACCACCTTGGTACGCACGACAGCTGTAGTGGACATCAGCGGCAGCCACAGTATGCAGTGCCGCCCATACCGAACACCCAGCATCACACACACACGTTAGTGAGAAAGCGTGTTCTCGTTGAATTACCCCGCTATAGTACTGACGTGTTGTCACTGGTCAGGTGTTTAGTGCGTCCGATGCAAACAAAAGAAACACGCGGACACAGACAGACCTCTAGGGACAATAGGTCGGCGGAGACATCCCACAGTCTCAGCGTTCCGTCCAGGCTGGACGTCAGGAGACGTCCTCCAGAGGCGGTAGCACCAGCAGCACCAGCACCGGCACCAGCACCAGCACCAGTACCGCTCCCATACACCCCCGGTGGCAGCATCACCATGGCCGTCACATCTTTCGTGTGGCCTGCTAGCCTCAGCAGCTAACGGCGGATAAGTGATATGTGGCGGGGACAGAGATGCGGGCAAGGGGAGTGAGGGCGTCAACAGACGGGTACACAGAAAGAGCAAGACCCGCGGGCGGGGCGAGGGAGAATCAGATGTTGGGTTGGGTTTGCATGGGGATAAGCCAGGGATCCAGTGGCTACTGGTAACGATCAGAATCAGAAACTCCGGGTTTGTGGAGGGGGGCATGAGGAACAGCCTGCTGGTTACAATCTGGAGGTCGGGAATCTAACGTTTACACAGGTATCTGAGAACAACCAAAACGTTGTAAAACGATACCATACACAATGCAATGCAATGGGACCGGCGCTATTCAAAGGTACAGCATTACTTGGTGAATCAGTCTGTGCCCAGAAGAAAATTCATCGGTGTATACACGACCACCGGCGCCATCACTAGCATTGTCCTGAGGACCCCCCCCCCCCCCCCCCCCCCCCCCCCCCCCCCCCCCCCCCCCCCCCCC